CGAACCCAATCCCAAGGATTTATTTCTTGTCCTCTCATTAAATGTCAGAATGCAGCAACCTTAGATAGTATGCCCAACCCAAGTATGCAATAACTGCTCGAACGTTTCGTGGGCGAAAGTGCTAATTGGTAAACACATCTTTAATTCAGTCAATTTTATATATAGATCTGCATCTTAAAAATTCAGTATTGCGTGTACGTATATATGTACATACATATATCTGTATTCTTGCTATATGTAGACTTGAGATTATTTCTCTTGATCTTTGTAAGGATGCAGACTAAATACGGATGAAATCTAATATAAATGTCTTGATTGGATTGAAGCACTATACTCCATACATTCGTAGATAGAGAAGAGTCACGGAGGACGGAATTATCTCAAAGCAATTGTGTACATATCTGCCAGAGTAGGTTTACTTTTCCAGGAGAGAATGTATTCATTTTAATCAAGAATATCGGACAACACTTTCTTCCCACACACACACACACCAGAACACACAGTTCCACCAGGAACGTTAAGATAGAGAACGACCGAGGTCTTAACGTTGTATGTGCCACGCTGGAGTTCTTGCATTGTAGTGTTGCCACTACGGTTGCCAGATTCTAAGAAAAGTTGGCCTCGCTCGTAATTAACTTTAATCTCACCGATTGTTCTATCTCAGTTGGCACTGGTTTGGCCTGGATTGTTTTACATATTTCATTGGCTTGGCAAGCAAGGTGAAGCTGGTGGTTGTGGGTATGGTCTGATGGGCCCCTGATTTCCAACCTTTCTCCTACTTACACGTACACAAGCGAGAAATTTTATTCATTTCATAGCTCAAGACTTGAATCCTGCATGTCTGACAGAACTATAGGAAGGGAAGCGGATCCGTAATAAATCTTGCCTCCTGATTTTGATGAGATTTTGCTTCCTACTCTTGATGAAATATTTGCACCTCTACTGTTTTTGCATTCGCCAAATTCCATAAAGCCCGAGGGTGGGTAACCAACAGCAGCAATTTGAGTACACATTCAGCTGAATGGTTGGGAGGGGAAGAAAAAGGAATAAAAATGGATGAATGTAAATTGATGCAAGAAGTAGAGAGTTCCAGAAAGTGTTGAATCTGTGAAGATGAAGGGACTGGGAAATGAAATACGTTGCGTTTCAACTCCTTTGAAGAACGTAAGAAAAAGGAAACTTTTAGGTTATTTATTCCTCAAGAAAATTAGGACAGGACAGACTCGACTCGTTTGAAATTTAAGTGGGATGGAATGTAAAGAAATCTTATTATAACTCAAGAAAGAGCTAAATCCAATTGCATTCCATTATTTCTTTATTTCTCATGGAATTTTGAGAAATTTCAATGATGAACCTTGTCTGCTCTCATTTTCCACCAGCTCGTCTCCGTCGTCGTCGTCCTTCTCACTAGTCGCACTATATTCATTGAGAGCCAGCAAAGAAGAAGAGACCCGACACGACGATGATGACAACAGTTAGGACCCAACTACCGACTATGGGCCGTGATTGCAGAGAACAAAGTGAAAACCAAGGTTTATGGAAACTGAGGAGCTGAATAGACTTCCCACTCTATACTTACACACGTTCCTATAAGTACGGACGTATGTATATAGGCTTTTGTGCAGATATGCGAGGCTTAAAAAGACACCAAGTCAAATTAAAGTTTATGTTGTAGCACTGTGAGAGCATAATTGAATTTAGCTACTACCACTCTCTCTCTCCTTGTTCCCTTTTCACTCTAATTTGCAATTTTAATTATTGAGAAAATTCAACCATACACGACAAGTTTAACTGTCGCCAACGTGCTCCTCGCTCGCTGGCAACACCCTGCCAATCTTTATTCTTCACTCAGCCAGATACTTTGCAAATCACTCCAATGCGGCAACAAATTTTGTACTCATTTAATAATTTGATAACCCTGAATCACTCTGTATATACATATTCTGATTCAATCAAGCTTTACTGCGAAGCCTACATCGTTCAAGTAAGTAACAGATATGCTCGGACCGAAAAAATTGACTTGCTAATTCAAAGAATTTAAAAGTATCCACGAATTAGATTTAATTTTATATTCTTTGTGCAATATTATGGAATATGCAAATTAATGCTTTAAATTAAGTTTTGAGCTGGCAGTCCAAACTCTTGGTTGCCGTTCGTATGTATGCATGAGATAAATTTGTGAGACCTTTCCTTCTGAGACATTTCCATACTTTTTAGTGGTTTCTGCTGCCATGTCATGGTTTACCAAGATATAAAACTTGTTCAATACACACATGGCAATAAACAACCATCAACTATCAATCCTTTTTCTATTCAATCCATTTATCCATTATAAATCTGGAAAGGCATGACAAATCGTAAATCTTGCTGTCAGAAGCTGCGCTTTGCGTGTTTTGCGGATAATACAACGATACGATCGTGGGGCATTATTGTTCTTTTGAAATTGCAATGCAGGCGGACGACGACTAGCAGTAACGACGAATACGGAGATATGAACATTCAAAATTTAGTGATTCAGTCCAGCACCGTCTCCCATACACCAGCGAGCAAGACTCATTTCTTATGAATGATCAAATGCACACACACACACACAAGGAGAGCAAGCAACAGTACTTTCGTGGTTAGTTCGAGAGGTGCATAAATATTGGATGTGAGATGTGAAGAGTGGAGAGAAAGGAGAAGAGAACGGATGAGAAAGCAAAATGTGCTTTCCCCATCACCGTCCAAACTATATCATCTTTTCAGTCTTTTCACAGTCCATTACATTATGCATTTTTAATGACTCGCTTTTTTGCCAAAATATCAACTTCTCAAAGGTTGTAGATACACACGGACTTGCAGCCTTGTAATTCAATAATTTTACAGCGGAAATATGTATGGTTCGTACAAAATTATGTTTACAGCATTAAGCTGCTGAACGAACCTGAATGGATTTATAAAATCACAGTTTTTTTAGTGATTCAGTTACAGATTCTCAAAATAATGTAACGTCGTTGGGTGCTAGAATTAGTTCTACGAGTACGAGTATGTATTGCATAAAATATGATAGACAGGTAAGTCAAATTTGTATTGCATTCGTAGTTTTCGTGATCAATAAAACGTTCATATTGACTGACTGTGATGTGATTCCAGTGATTTCAGACTCAACTTTTATGCATGTACTTATCATCACTGAAACTTTATATGACTAGTCAAAGATTATAAAAAACTTGACATATAAATTAATGCAACGACATTATTTTTAGTTCGTCAGTACGAGATATCTTGAAGAATCAAGAACTCCAGAATAATTATTTGCACGTACATACACTTTATTTTATTTTTAATACATCTTTACAAGATTGTAGTCTAAATCTATAGCAGGTCTACTGGCTACACATACATGTGTGTACCTGCGTAAAATGACGATTTAAATTAAATACGTTAAATATTTCAGCTTGTTAAGTTGCAAGTTTATAGCTAATGCATATCACCTGCAGCATTTTAAAAGAATAAAGTTTAACGTTGTAACAAAAACTAATAATTATGATAAACTCAGTAGAGAACATATTTAGCACGTCACGATCTCATTTAATCGTTTCATGTTTTACAAAAACGGAGAATGATGAAGGTATGCAGCATGTACATATTATGTGCACCCGTAAAATGATGCGTACATAAATTCATCCATTAACCGCTACGAACTGCCACTTGCTAGAAAAATGTGCCATTGTTATTGATACAGGTATCGACTGGCGAAACTGGACAGTGAAAGCAGGGGAAACTAGGCTCCTCGTGCTGTATGCAAGTAGTAATTGTCTACCCCCACCTGTGCTAAGGTCATTAACGCAGCCCAAGAGATGGAATAAAGGAGGAGGCGGGGATAAAACTTTTTTGATTACTTTAATTAAAAGCTCCAAAGCTGTGGAGGAGCAGGCTTGTATGAGATTTACCAGATCAGGATGTGGCTCATTTTGCGGTTTCTTTTCTGCTCAAAGGCACCTTAAAGACGATTTTGGACCAACAGACTCTCACCAAGCGAGGTGAGATTGTGTTGGTCTAATAATCCGCCTTATACCGACAGATACATGTATCTACATAGAGGTCTGTTTGAAAAGATTGTAAACCCAAACAACAACTTAATATCCGTCTCTTTTCCTCAGCCTTGTTGAATGGCTGGAAAAAGTCGAGGAAAGAAATTAGGTTGGTTTATTAGACGCAAAAGTTGGTGTGGCGTGGCTGATGTGGTGGTATAAATAAATGTGGAATGGAGTGTGAGAATTACAACGAGAATTAGTTCACTGGGGAATAAAGAATAATGTTTTCCTCCTTTCTCAAAATAATTTCCCTTTCTCTCTGCCACTTTCACTTCCACACTCTTGATTGCCTCTTATTTTCTCTCCTCATTTTCACAAATCTGCAAAGCTGTGTTTCGTTCCACCCTCCTTTAAATCACCTATTTATACTGATTACAACGGCATAATCATAATCTGACTGTTTTAGCCATTTGCGCTATTACCATGTCGAAGTTAAGTAGCACACTTGGGACTAGTGCCTCCAACTTCCATGCCATCTAATCCAATTAATGAGGCGATCTCTGCTAATCACGCAGCAAGCAGGTTGTGTTCGAAGGAGGACAAAACTAATTCAAAAATTTCCACAAAAGAAGATTCGCTTGTATTCCGTGGCATTGTGTTTGTTGGTTATGGATATCTCTCAAAAAAGCCTTTAACGACTTATTTACTTCCCCTTCACTGCATCCCAAGGTGGTAAGAAACGAGTTATTCCTCGCCGTATCTGTATGCACGGGCAGTTGGACGGAGAAAGCGGTGGTGTGAGTTACGAACTAGCTTTCCCTCTGTGGGAAGAAATGCACAATATCCGAGCCTTTACTTTCTCGATCGTCGTTTGTCCGCAGTCGAACTAAGGGTTCCCCACCTAGCGTTCCACAACGTGTGAGATTTCTTATTCTGATAACAGATGATGCTCAGGGTACTGTGTATGCCTAAAATGTAAATATCTATGTGTGTCTGCATCGTTTATTTCTAACAGCAAGTTACAAAAATTATTAGAAAGCAGGATATAGATATGTACATATATGGATTTATATTGTGTGCATCATGTCATTTTGAAGATGCGCTGTCTGATTTTTCAAGTACTCCAACTTTCACCAATTGGTCGAAGGCATTGCTGAACCTTTTTTCCACTCAACATTTCCCTGTATGGATTGCTCCTCTCCAACTTTGCTTGCTTTACTGTGGTATTTAACCGATTCAGGAAAAATCCCTCTTCCAACTCGCCAAGGTCTCCTTCTCGCTTAGTCTCATTTGAATCTCGACCCTGAATAATTAATTTTTAGTAAATTCGTTAGGTTCGATTATATACATTTTTTTCTCATACACATATTTCATATACATGAAAATTGCAATAATGAGCAATAAATAAATCAAACTTTATGCAACTAATATTCCCTTCCATTTTCTACGCATATCGTTATGGGAGCATTATCTGGTCTCAAACATGTAGTGCACCGTACTGTGTTCATTAAAACCATACAAAAGAGACTAAATAAATCCCTCACAACTCGAATAAAGGCATACACACGTAAGTGCAAGGGAAAAGCAATTGACGACGGAATTATTATATAGACTTGACTTTGTCCAAATTAATAAAAGATTGCTTTGAGTTTCTTTGAAATTTTGAACATGACGCAACTTATTTCCTCTCGTATGCTTTGGGAGACGTTTTGATGGGGTTATTTCTTATTACTTTTATTCAAATTTATGAGTTGCTCGTTATTACCTTAACCGTAGCTTGATACTGCAATTGACAGTCCAAATCGTTGCGATACTGCTGGCGTTTCTTGAGCTGAACCTCTTTTTCATACTCCACCTCTCGCAAATACTGCTTCCAATCTTCTTTCAGGTATCTCAACTCTTTCTGCCGCTCCATTTCCTCCTTGTCCCGGAGAGCTTTCAAATCGTCAATTTGCTGAGCCCGACCTGCCAACACGTTCTACTCCGTGCCATGAAACAGACAACAAAATACATAATTTATAAACATATTTATTTAGAATCCTAACATTTTGCATTCATTCATTCCTTGCAGAATTCTGAATTATAGTCTGACTATGAGTTATGCAAATATAGTTTAAATTGAAAAAAGACATTTAGATTACAGATAAATTATGCAACAAAGAGAATGAGAGAGATTCAATAGCTTCCAAAATTAATACATCTAATAATAAATATAGATCTCGACCGTTTATGTTATAGGATTATTAACAAATATGAGACCAACTTACGCAAAATAATTGTTTTCGTTGAGCTTGTTCCTTTCTTCGAGCTTCATTCACCTTCAAGTACTGCTCCTCAATTACGGCATCAATTACTTTCTGCAGCTCTGCTTCTCTGCTATTACCGTAACAGTCTCGTTTTTTGAGGTAATCCAAGTAGATGTTGATTGAACGCATCAGTTCTCGCTGTTGAAATAGGTTTTCATCAGCATCGCCAATATTATTATTAGTATTATGTAGTAGCAGTCAAAGTGCATACTACCGACAGCCCCCTTTCACAATTAATTAGCAAAAAGTTGGTGACATGTTAGACTTACTTTTGCTTTGTTTCTGTCCGCCTCCTCAATATATAGTTCTCGAATCGCTTTCCGGAGGAACTCTTGAGCTACGATTTCTTCCCTTTTAATTCTCCGATCTCTGTAGTAATCTCTGGTTGCCATCATTTCTTTGACATGCTCTTTAGACTTGATGAATCGTGCATTCTTTTCTTCCTCCCCTTCAAAAATAATAATCAAAAAAGATTTATCCCGCCCGTCCTGCCTTATTGATAAGCCTTTTAACTCTAGGAGATAAAAGGTCAAATGGTTGATAGGAGGTCTAAAATGATTTATATAACTTACGTTTCCTCCGTTCTACTTCCAATTCTTTCTGAATCTGAGCATTTATGGCCAATTCTCGTTCTTGGATTTTGGCCTGATCTGCGGCCTTTGCCTTTTTGTATTGAATTTGCCTGTCCAGTTCTGCAAGTCCTTGCTTCAACGCATCGGCTCTCATGCAATCGTACGCAATCTCACGCTTCCACTGCAATGAAATCCAATTTTGTATTTATTGAAGTGAATAACATGGAAATATATTGCTGTGCAGACTTCTTCGCAAAAAAGGCTCATTAGTCTACTTTTTTCTGCCTGGGGACCAAATTCTTTTGGTTGAAGTGAAAAGACCAACTCTTAAATGGTAACTTGTATACAAACTTTCGTGACTTTAAAATGTTAAGTGTTTAAATGTTCAGAAGGTCTGCAAGCATGTAAATGTTTATTAATTTAAATGAAACACTTGGGCAGACTTTAGGTGAATCGTAATCCTAAAAATATGCGTTAAACTGTGTTCTAATTTATCACTTGTATTAAATAGGTAAATTTTCGTGTGGTGTTATCTTATCAGATAATATCTTACCTTATTTTCCACATCCAGACTGACCAAATGCGCATACATACGATCGTTCTCCTCTTCTTCACACTCTAATCTCTTCTTCATTTTGACCTGTTCTCCCCAGTCTTGTACGATTTCCTTTGTTATCCGTTTTGACAGCAGCGTCCGCATTTGTTCACATTGATTTCTAGAACAACAAAGGTCTCCAGTTATTATGTAAACAATATTCAACAAACAAAACATATTTACAACAATTAAATGTGGACATTGAAGTGAAGTGTGGTTTAATAAAATTAGCATACAGAGTGAGGTCACATTTTCATAAAGGGAAATGACATGGCCAAACCGCAACTCCATTAACAGGGGATGAACTTTAATTAATTTAACTGTTAATGAAGATCCTCATTGACAAGCCAAAGTTGAGTCATTAATAGCATTGAATGTGTGTATGTATGTATATGTGCCAGTCCTCTTTACCCATTATGTTAAATTATACGTCGCATTAGATTTTGCTTGCACAGCTCAACAAAATTTAATTATCCATTTCTATTATAGCACACATAACTTGGATATATTATCCTTACGTAGGTTTTAGGGATAAGTATGTGAGCAAACAAGTGAGCAAATAAGTACGGACATTCTGTAATGTCTTCCATTGTAGTTTCTTTGATGACTGTATAAAACAAGGAAAAAAATGACTTACTGAAATGCGAGATCCAGTTTCTTTTCCACGAATTGACGTTCCTCTTCAAGACGCTTTTCTTTTAAAGCTTTCACTCGCTGTCTCATTCCGTCAATTTTGGATTCCTGTTGTCTTTCAAAGTCAGTCTGCATTTGCTGAGTGTGCGAAAACATTTCATTTTCCATCATCCTTTTAAGCCTGAAATTTGATGAAAGTTTTCAATTTGCACTTGACTAGTATTGGAATGGTGATTGTTCTATAGTTAGTATTCCGGCATGTCTGAACTCCTTGTGTAATCCTCCAAAATTTATTATAGATATTTGGCACATAATCAACAGGAGTTAGAAACCTTGTGCCGCAAACAACAACACTTACAAGAAGTTGGTAAACAACTTGAGCAAAGACTAATTAAACTCGTTTCAACCACATCAAACACGGGAACTGAGGACTTTAGATTTGTAATGAATTTTCAAAATAGATACAGCACCTCTCTTATTACAAATATCAAATCAATCCAAATTTCATCATTTACAAGATGATCTAAAGGCGGAGTAAGAGTTGGATGGGATCGCAAGACTGGGAATTATTATCATTCTATGTATTATGTACAAGTACGATTATCACACTCGTTAAGAATTATCAAGGATTATTAATTTGACGGCAAAATGATATTGATGAAGAGTATAATACGTATATTGATTGAACTACTTTTTTGTTGGGATAGAATAATGTACGGTCTAACGAAAACGATCTCACTCACCTGTCACTCCTTGTCTCCAGATCCATTCGTCTCTCTTCCATTTCCGTTTCAGTCTTGAATTTAGTCAGGGCGTCAATTTTCCTTATTTCCCCTCCGTTCTCCATTTTTTGCCTGAAAGCCATTTTTCTGTCCGTTTCCAGCATAATATGGATTGGTTGGAGGCGTCTGAACCTTTCGTTCTCAGATTCTCCAACTTTTGGTGGGTTGCTGAGTTTCCCACATGGAACACAGCACTTGGACTACATATATCGATCATACAAAGGGACTTATTGGAGCTCGGAGCAATTCTGGCTTGTTTGATCATATAACCAGCAGAAAACAATAATGCAAACTAAAAAATATGTGTATATTTACCGGTGGATCCATTGATGCTCCACATTTGCACGGCACCAAATAAGCCATTTGCTTTATGGTTGATGGATGATATTGCAAAAGCCAAGTGTCCCACTTGAACAATTAAATTAAATCGCACGGTAGTGCTCAAAGTTGCTCCGGGGTTTGTTAAATAAAGTCAAAGCCCACTTGACAAAGGCAAAGAAATTGTTCTCTAGCTTTGAAATCGAGAGGATTATCTCAAACTTTGGATTGGTCTTTATTGCTACAACAACTATGTATGCATACAATTAGATAATGATAATGCATCAAAATACACGTGGTGTTGGCGAGGATTGAGTAAAGGTTTACATACTCTATGAAAATTATAGTGCATGGCATTGCATGTTTCATTTACGCAATGTTTTCTCGTGAAACTCTTTTATTAACCCAACGACGTAACAAAAGTATAAAATGAGATTTACAAAATATCCTTGAACAACAAGCATACGCAAATATTGCGGCAAGGTGGTGGTATAAACAAGCACTTATTGAGAATCATTCACTCTTAAGAACCATTCTTCCATTATTCTGGAGAGTTGGAGTAATCCCCATTTTGATGATGACGATGATGAAATCAGCATTCATTCCAATCATATTTGAACATTCGTAACATTGGCACTTTGAATGAAGAAGCTTAGCGGCCGTACCCACCGCCACCCCCACCGGATGGCGGCCCATATGAGGAACCTACACTTGGCGCATATCCTCCTCCCCCTCCACCACCACCTACAAAAATCATTAATTAGTACTGACTATTTTATTAAAACTATTTGAATAATAAAATCTCACCTCCTCCCCAACCACCGCCCCCACCGCCTATGTTAATTATTAATACACATTTTATTTTCGTTACAGACGACAGAGGTACTTTCCATGTTTGCTCTGCACAAACTCGAGCATCTCAAAGAATTGTTTCAAATTTTAACTAACCTTTTCCTCCTCCACCTCCACCACCTATGAAAATTAGTAATAAATGCAATTTAATAATTACTGACATTGAGATAACCTATTTCATGGCCTGATTAGAAATTCACCCCATCCACCACCACCACCTCCTCCTATGAAAATCATCAATTAGCATCACTGAACTGATTGCCTTTAAACCATTTAATGACCTTTACCTTTGCCTCCTCCACCACCACCACCTCCTTTCTTGAAGATGCTTCGGAAGATTTTCTTTAGGTTAAATCCACCTCCACCTTTTCCTACGAATCAATAATTAATTAATCAGAACTAACGCACATCCTTCACTCGATGAATAATCCGATATTAATGCGACCACTCCACTCCATTCCATGCTGACACATAAATGATGTTGCAATACCTCCACCACCACACCCACCGCCGCCGCCGCCGCCTCCGCCACCCCACCCTCCGCCGCCGCCGCCGCTACCTCCACCCTTCCCGCCTCCTCCCCCTCCTGTAGATTTTCAAAGTAAAAATATACTAAGGTCCGACCAATAGTGGGTTGTATGGATGGACGACTGGACAATAACTTACCGCCCAGGAAGGAACCCGCATTGGTCACATGTATCACTGCCAGGGACAGACAGACGAGTAATGCCTGCAAGGCAAATCAATTTATGAATTTAAAAATCCGTTCGGTACACCAATATGTGAAGCACTCAGGACACTTACCACTTTCGCCATTTTTATCAAATGGAGGCCTCGTTCAACGATAGAAAGACGTTACAGAATGACTCCACGTCTTCAATTCATCGACTTTATATACACGGTCAAATGCGGTTTTACAAATAAAACGCTGGCAATAATATTGCAAATATACAAAATCTAGTCAACAATGTGTCCATTCAAATCATTCATGTAAGCTTGCATAAAAATCGTGTGTATTCATTTCATTTAAAGAAGAGGGGCCTATCATTCACGTTACATCACATCGAATCATACATAACAGAAGCTATGTAGCAGCACCCCGTAACTTAACGCACTTGGCGTCGTCTACTTTGCAATTTCAAATTCAACCATACATATGCATACACCAAGTAAGACAAAGCATGGAGATGAATTTATTTTTGTCCCCCCTTCCAAGATAAGATACATACGTACATATTAAATAATATTAATACAGAGGATATGATAATATTACTTCTACGAGAAAGATATGAAAAGCAGGCTCTACATGGTAGTAGTGCTATCGCTTATTTATAAATAGTCTGTCACCTAAATAAGTAACTAAAACATCACCTCGTCTACTCCATAGCTGGGCTGTTGTTACCCCTAAAATTAAAATTAAAATCGTTTCCATTCATCAAAAGTGGGCTATCACCCTTTCTAATCGTAAATTTCGTTTTTAACCACTTGTGCATAAATTTTACTAATTGAAGACTGTTTTAAAACTATCGGAATTTGCATTATGTTTAATCCACTTTGGCAACGGCTTGTTCATTATTGTTCGCACCGTAAAAGATTATCACGATTTTTTTAATTCATTCATTGGTCTGTTATTTATCCATTGACGAATCCTCATCTTCTTCATCTTATCATTTTCGTTTCTCATTCTTTTTAATTGACAATGGGTGCACACGGTCAAGAGTTTTATACAGTTGACAAACCCTGCATGCAAATTAGTCATCGTTATTGACGAGCGCCCATGAGTGTATTTATTTACAGACTCGTTGTTCACATTGGATGCTAATTGTCTGCTAGTGAGGATGAAGGTTTAATTATGTAACCAATTGATTTGCTGTCAGAGTACAAAATCAAACAAATAGTAAATTGTGTCATTGGGGATGTTTTCAATTCAAGATGCTTATTTATTGACACACTGACTCGATGTCTTCTCATCATTTAATTGCATTTTAATTGACTACATTGTTCACATCGGATGATTCGTTTTGTCTCGCGACGGTCAACTGAATTTTGCATTGATAACTATTAATACTCGCCATACGAGTGCATAACTACGTGTGTAAATTCATATATTAAGTACGAGGATATGCAATGAGCAGATCTGAGGATGCTTCTTCTCGTCGTCTTCTCGTTTTCAGAGGTTTTCAATAGGAATCAATCACTCACGTGGAACTAATTTCCTAACACACGGAAGTCGCTCAGGCATGCAACGCGCAGAGATATGATGAAACAGGGCTCATTGTCAGTTTGGTATTTGTCGTAAGTGTACAATCAGTGTGTCATCAGCAACCACCTGCTTTTTGGTTGGTTGTAATGAATCCCCTTTTTATTATTAGTGAAGGTGACAAGCAATTTATTTATTCGCCACCCTGACTAAATTATGCGTTTATTTTGGTGTAGATGGATGTTGATGACACCATGCAATAAACCAACCAACATCCTCTCCCTACAACACCACATATTAGTAAATCATGCTGCTATTACTTGGCTCATTAAGGTTTTCAAAACCTCTGTAAACATTGGTTACATAATTACTATTGTTGCCGTCCGTATTATTATTATTTTTATTATTTGTGGCATGGTTTCCACATAAAACTGGGCTACAAAAATACAGGGTGGTTAAAATGTCACGCTACAATGGAAAATTTTTCGATGGGAAAAATCCACAAATTTCCATTAGTTACCGAAATTTTGTCTCTAAAATGCAACATTTTAAGAATTTTGTCATCAGTTTTGATAATAATTTATAAAAATCTCAATCTCAAATCTTGTAACTAATGGAGATTTTGGGACTTTTCCCATTGAAAAATTTTCCATTGTGGCGTGACATTTTAACCACCCTGTACATCAACATCAATGGGAATACTATACAAATAGGTATTATAGTTACACTAAATACGTACATACATACTTGCTAGAAAAATTAGTCACTTTAAATAGTACGCTTTTTAAGACATTAATAATTGGTTGTGTAGACAAAATTTTCATCTCATTAAACCAGCAATTGACGAGATTATTTCTAAATTCGGAGCTTATGTAAATTTATTTGTAATACTGCATTTTGTTTATTGTTATATGTATGTAGCGGATTCATTCATGCGTGCACATTAATCCCATTTTTTAACCAGGATATATTTTTGGTTTATTTATTATTTTATATATGGTTGCAAGTATTAAAAGAGATTTATTGCGAGTATTTATCTTTTCAAAGAGAAAGTGGTCGAACACGTATTGCATAATTATTAATGACGATTAAAATTTGTTCTTGATGGATTTCGCCATGTTTGATACTCCTATCAAAACTCTATAAATTAATTTTAAACGATTGCCATTGTTCATCTTGTGTTTATGGGACATTGATTCATCGGCTTGATCATCCACAAATCTAATCCTTTGCATTTTGTGTTTGTCTATTCATCACTTTATTAGGCATCATTTCTAATTAGTACGTAATAAATTAAACCGCAGCAGCATAATACAAATGTTTACTCAAACCCTCGCCAAGTTGTTGTGCAAGCAGTTATATAAATGATACCAATATTTTATTTATTAATTTATGTAAATCCATCCTCTACATTCATTATATAATCGTTGCATGCATAAATCATAAGTATACGGATTTACCAGCAGCAATATTAATGAACTCAAGAAAATCTTTTCAACAATTGTTGCACACCCCAATTTTCCACACTACTAAACTGGTTAATTTTGGCATGTATTTTATTTATTGAGCCATTCTTAATAGTAATAAATCAGTGTTATCCATAAAGTCACTTTATATTAAGAATTCATGGAGTGGGCATTTGGGCAATGAGATGAGTGTTGAGCGTCTTTCTACGAACAACAAATTCTAGCTACACCGCATGCCGCGTGTTTATGGAATATTTTACTAAAAATGCAGAGTGTAAGTATACAGATAAAAGAAGGTATTACGAAATGCTAAAAAACTACATGGTTTATTATTAAGTATATTATGGTCAGAACGTTGATGTTGAATACGTTGATGAATCATCAGTAATTTTTTGTGGAGATTTCATTATCAAATGACCGGCCCCAACCACCGTGGCTTTATTGTTAGTCGGATCGTTGGCAGTGATTCCAAGTTTCCTCTATAACTGACCTCGCCTGTCATACACGTTCATAAACCAAGGGTATATTGAGTATAGTTATGATACATGGTTTTACTGGCTTGAAATCCTTTTCAATGATTTTGCTGAACTTTGAATGGCGATACTTGGGATGTCAGACAAGAGGATGAATAATAAAATGTTACAATAAGCTACCCAAGCATAAGAAAGCGGCAATTAAGCAGCGAGTATTATAAGAGAGCACGATGTCTGACTGAAGGAGCTAATAGCACGACCACAAGTAGTGAAACACACGCTAATGAATCTACCTTTGCATTTATCCATTGATTTCAGCAGCATGTCGTCGGCATATTTTTGACTAGGGACGAGGCGACCACCAGGCAAAGAATTACTTGAAAAGGTGTTTCGCTACCTTGACTTCAGTTTGGCTTTGACTTTCAACTTGAAAGTGAAGAGGCAACATTTAAGAGGACCGGCATTCTAAATCACGGACGACTACATACATACAAGTGCAATGTGCTGATATATATATACTTTTGGTGCATTAGCAATAATAACTCAAGAAACCTTCAATTTTAACTCTATTATGTATCACGGCTTGTAATTAACAAAAATAGTTGCATAAAAGTGGAAAACAATTCGGATAAAATTATTTTTTTCATGGATTCAGTTTTCATGCATTAATGCGATTACAGACAAGTACGACAATTAACTCAAAAGTAATATGCAAGAGTATTACTTGCACGCACAATAAGTAATCTTGTGCATCTGCCAATATTGTCGTTGCGAGTGCGTGTACACAGGTAAGTAACTAATTCAGTAAAGCAGATCATTCATATACATACATAAATATTTAACTACAATGACAAGCTATCTTATGCGAATGATTGGATAATAATTTAATTGGTTCAATTTGTGCAGTATTTACAATTTTAAAAAATCTGTAACTTTCTGATTTTTATTATATAGATGAACAAAAAAGATATGACCGGTTGTTAAACATCCAACAATCCACACAACAGCGTAAACTCGACTCGAAAACTCTTTATTCCAAAGGTACGCAGAATTTGTGAACCCAAAACTTTCTATTTTCTGTGTGTTATGTGCAAACAGAAATGATCCAAATTGATGGTGAATTTGCTCTTTTGCACCATAGGATGATAGCCTAGATTATGTGACGTTGTGCGCAATTTATCACACGGACAAGATATAGCAGTGTACTTTGTTTGACTATTTGGAAATTGGATTGTTGACTCGATTTGTTCTTGTTTGTTAGGGAAGTTAAAATCGCATTATCACGAGATTTGTCAAATTTCGACGAGTGAATGGGTTTATATACCTGCTGCTGAATCTCGATCACCAGAATTGTCAACTCTCTACAATCTCTCATGACGTGAACCTCTCGCCTCTTCCATTATCATCATGGGCACAATTCCCGACTGATACAATTTTAAGTAAACAGTTTTTTAGAATAAATAATATATTTCCTGAAGAATAGTTGTAAATATAAACAAAAGATTTTGTTCAGTGTGTCGATAGCACTTCTGTGTGAGTTCAATAATATTTGACATCTCGTTATACACATTTATCAAACTCGGACCGTTTGCTATGCAAACAAATTCGTGGAATATTTTATCAACCCATCGCACCCATAAGGAACTGACTAAGCGGACTGCTCAATCAATTTGCACCAAACGGATTCAAAGTAGCGGTCAGGAGACGCTATACCAATACATTCGCCTGCCTTGATATGTACGATTTGGGGTGACCATGATTACATTTATCTCAGTTCGAACAGAGACCAACAGCAGAGCAGTAGTAAGAAGTTCAACTTTTGCAAATTCTCATCTTAAGAGAACCACAAATGAATCGCCAAGAGTGATCAGCATAATCTCCCAATCACTGCAATACGCATGCACATACTTGATTAACGAGTTTATGCATAAATACCTATCAAGTTGGGTTGAGTGAACGTGATTAGTTTTTGTCACTGCACCGCTGGAGCAATTGAGTCCGTGAGTGAATCCATTGAACTTTGTCAACTTGATTGTTGGGGACTAAATTGAGTGTGATCATGGAGCTAGTCACCGTGAAACTCATTGTCCTTGCAATCTCCGGACTGGTGCGAATATTTTTCGGAATGATCCCTTTCGTCGTAATAAAAATATTAGCAAGGTCCATCTGGTCCAAAGGGGCAGACAGACGAATGAAAAAGGTCATCTCTATTTTGATGTTTTTTGGCGGTGGCGTCCTTCTTGCTACATGCTTTCTACACATGATGCCTGAAGTGCGAGATTCGCTGCGTGAAGCTGAGCCAGAATTAGAGTTGCCACTTTCGGAGATAATTTTTTTAGCCGGATTTTTCCTAGTCTACATTATCGAAGACATTGTGTAAGTACTTCAATTGGAATCTATGTATATGCATGTAAAATCCCACTGCTGACCTTAAGGTCAAACTGAAACTTTTATTTTTGCTTTCAACATTCAAGGTGTCAGGGTGTACCCTGTAGAGGCCTCATGGTCTTTCTCTCTACTATGTATTGTTCTGTACAGGCATTCCATCATCCATCAGAGGAGAAGTCGCAAGGCAGAGGCGAAACAGGCCACTGCTTCCACTGACACGAGCAAGATGGGAAAGCAAAACAAGAGCAGCAATATCAATGCAAATCAGAGTTTCTCAGGCAGAACGGGTAGGACTGCGGAAGACAAAGGATTGCATAATAATGAAGATATGACAATTAACGTTGCCACCACTAATGGCTCTAATATTGCAGCTACAGCATTTAATGGCACTCCAAATGCACCACCAAGTGCCACAAACTCACAAGACTCCCTTTCCTTTTTGAGCGTTGAAGCGCAACATCGAGGACAAGTTGCGTGCTCAAATCAGTTGCGTGAAACCAAAAAGATTTTTCGAAAAAACGGTCCCAATGCTGATGAGATTCCGGGATTAGCAAAGAGTCGCCTTCAAAACGGCATGGGTGGAATTACGAATGCAGGGTTTGTCCCTGAAAAATTTCAGTACTATGATTCCGACTGGTTGAAAGATATTGTAAATAATGCCAATTCTGGGATTAGTCTACCCAGGGGAAGGCGTTCAATTTGCAGCGAACTTATTTTCAACGGAGTTTTTGATGCTCAAAATAAATTTGCACAAAATGAGTCCGATCAAGAAGCGCAGAATAATATTCACCACAATAATCATCAAGTCGATTCACCGCATAGCTCCACAATTTCGAACAATAACAATGCAAGTTTACATGCCCAACAACACTCTCAGCATCGAAATCATTCCAAGAAGCAACACAATCACAGTCACATGCCTATCGCTTCCGAGAGCGAAATTGATCAATCAATTGGAGCAGAAATTCGAAATATTTTAATTGTGATTGCAATATCGTTTCATGGCATTTTTGAGGGGATGGCAATTGGACTTCAGGGTTCTGAGGCTGATGTGTGGTATTTATTTCTTGCTGGTAAGCTTATCATAATGAAACACATTTTACGGCTGTATTTGTTTATTTGGATAAATTATTTTTCGTCAATATTTTGTTTTTAATGCCATTACTATCACATTTATCTCTCCGCAGTGTCATTGCATGAATGTACAATTTTGTTTTGTATTGGAGTGGAACTTATCTCTTCAAAAACAAAAGTTTTTCGTATGGTGCTCTACCTACTTGTGGTATCACTAGGTCAGTCTCACCTTTATTGATTGATCTTGATTGATGATTTTGATTGATTAATTAATTTATGTTGTAGTCAGTCCTGTTGGAATTGGGATAGGGATTGTCATTTCCGAAAGAGAATATGGAAAAGTTCTCCACCAGGCCCTCGTTGTTGGCTGTTTTCAAGTAAGAATTAACCAGAAATTTTCTAGCGTCTTCATTTAGCACGCTAATTACTCAAATTGAAGAATTGCTCTGTCGAAGAAGTGTTAATGTATTGTGTCAAATTGTATGCACATCATATATGCAGATGCAAGTATTGGCCATCACACACTGATAACTTAAAACGGAACAGCAGTAACACAGAGAGGTCATGGTCATTAGTGACATATATGTTTGGTTAGTATGTTGGTGCTAAATACGCGAAAACTTCATCCTAACTGTCATGCGAGACGATAGCACCCGTTTTATTGTACCTATTAAAATAAAGTAACACTAGAACGTTGTTAATTGAAAACGATATATGCATGATAAGTTGAAGCAGAACATGCAGAAACTTTCCAACCCATCAAGAGTAAAGTCCAAATTGATTTTTTTGTGCGCAAACTAAGCGTATCAGAAATCGTGACGCCATGCCAATCATCCCAAGATGGAAAAAGAATTATTTAAGTTATTCTTTATCGTGTCATTATTTTACTAGGAATATATGCAAATAGATTGGACAAAATCGTAGAGTAACGATCCACTAAAAATTCTATATGCATATAATTCGAATTTAATGACTGGTCCTCTTTTCGCAGTACGTAGAATTCTGCGTATTGTTTATTATGCAGATTTTTTGCATGTATGCACATTTTGTTGAAACATGAATATTCCTCTTCGGTGAAGCTGAGATGAATTTTTTGTCAGTAATTTGAGATTTATCACTGTAATAACAAATGACGTCTTATTGTCTTTGCAAAAAAATGCATTCCCTCACACAATCATAAACCAGGTGTATGTAAATCATGAAGCACAAGTGATTCAAATGATTCTCTCAGAAGAGTTTGTCAACCATTTTCCAAGTAGAAGAATTTCTTTAGAGGAAGATTTTTTAAATTTCCAATTTTATCAGGAGCTAATTATGAGAGCAGTTTGAAATGCATTACTTTATCAATTTATAAAGAATGCATATACTATAATAAATTATTTTAAATTAAATTGGTTAATTAATGATGATGCTTATTTCGGACTTAGGGTTTGGCAGCTGGAACTTTGCTGTACGTAATTTTCTTTGAAATATTTCAAGAGGAGGGAAAGAAACTTCACAGAAAATGTTACCACATTTTGATCGCAGTATTGGGATTTGTACTTATGGGGAGCTTGGAGTTTATGGGTAAGACCTGTTTGTGCCTACTCATCATCATTAGTACACCAGACTACCTAATACTTGTAAATATGTATATTTACTGGCTGGCTGTTTGGAACATGTGCATGCAAAATAATAATTAGTTCGGACTTACTAATAAGAGACAATTCTTATTTAATAGTTGTTTAATAATATGCTTAATACTTTAAACCAGGGGGACATCATCACGGAGAGGCAAATGGGCTGGGAAACAACTGTTCCACAGGCCATCACGAACACGGAGGCCATGACGATCACGATCATTAAAGCCCATCTTGACTGTCTACCTCAATAATATAAAAATCCAAGCCATATTAAAATCAAGATTTTATGTTCACCTCCTTCGCCTTGTAGTGGAGTCTGTGATGTTTTTAGTTTTTACACTACACACTTTTATACCGAATTAACTGGAATGCATAAACTTGGACGAAAGTCCGAGTAAATTAAGGCTCGAAAGAGTCAAGTGATAGCCTAACCTAATTTCTGAAGCATAGCATGTTATTTAAAAACTATGTCTGCCCATGTTCAAAGTTCACGTTAAATACGAGGGAGGATGTACGAACTTATATAGATCCACGTTTTGGTTTACTGGAATTATGATCATAACATGACTATTAAATCAAGTAATTGCACAAATTGTCCTGCTGTCCAATATGGAAGCACGCAATTTTAAGCGCATTATATATAGCAAACAAACAAAATATGTATGCAAAAACAACAATAATTAGCCTTGAGTTTGGTTTATGTTTGCATTTAAATTATTTTGACCATTTCACCAAGACTGAAAACTCTCATTAGAATATACTAAAACGAATCCGTTTTTTTATTAAATTACGCGAATAAATTGAACACAGATCGATTGTGAATTTTTACCATTTATTTTACTCAAATAACAAAACGAAATTTTTATTACAACTTATAGTTATATAATTCTTACTAATGCAAACCGAAATAATCAGTTTCAAATTTACATGTATTTCGTCCGTCTCTACAGTTTTATGTACATGGTAGATTATAAGTTGAAGCATTAATACAGTATTCATTAAACGACGAAACAATTATTAATTAAACATTGACCCCGAGATTGTCTCGAGTAGTACCTATATTAAGTTTACCATTACATAAGTATGTCATTGGTAATTCAGTATATATGCATACATCCACATTGTAGTACTAGTTGAAGTACTTCATCTCAGCTATCTATCTACATACGTAATAAGTAAGTACATTCTTATAACAATTGACTGTACACGATTTCACTACCATGATTCGACGCAGCCGTGCAGTAGTTTTACCTTATAATAATAATAATAATCCCTCATCTTAAGTATACATATCTATACCCTTCAACATAATATCATTGTAAACTTACCATTGAATTTGAAAATTTGTACATATGCTAATTAGCTGTGACAAGTACTAGTGCGGGACCCGAGGTCAATTTGTCCGCATGCAAGCAACTTGTCCATAATAATATTAATACAATAATTTTGAATGTGATGATGATCCAAGTTTCTCATGCTGCCTTATTTATTTTTAGTTAGTTTGTCTAAGTGATCACCACAATTGTAATATTGACCTAGAGTACAAAAACGTTCCCGCAGAATTTTGGCTGGAGAACTGGATTTGAATAAACAAACAATTTCAAGAATTTCAAGTAAATGAATTTGAGACTGGGCTTGCATGTGCTAATTTAGGATTTAGGATTTAGATCAAATGATTGGTTTGATGAAGTGGAGAGAGAAAGATTTCATCAGAATGATCAGATTTCCAAATTTCCATCAACGCACAGAGATTCAAATAGGTTGTGATTTCCGAGACTTTGCTTTGTCGTCGCTTTGGGACAGGATCTCAGAAGATGATCCAGTCAGCAATTACTTATTCATGATTTTCTCAGCCATATGGAATGGCCTATATACTGACTTCTGTTTATGGAAGGATATTTGCATTTTGAAGTGCAAATTTAAACAGAAGAGAGAGAGAGAGAGGGATGTATCTTGTCTTGTGTAAGAGGTTGATGGTTGGTTATCAAGGGGAGCTGTGTAAATTAATTGGGCTTGGATGAGCCCAATTCCTGCTATACAGGCAATTACAATTTATTGACTTTGGTAATTCAAATTTTAAGATTTAAATGCCCTCAAGGCTTATAACTTTGATGAACATTTACAAAACCATGTACTTCACACACATATACACAGAACTTAACTTAATCAGTGTGGTATGGGTCAAATATGTACTAAGTACCACGTCGAAGCACCAAAAATATATGGTTGGTTCATCTCTTACATTGACATATATGAATCCCAATGGAGTCACTCCAGTTGATTAATCGCTACCGACGAAGCACCGAAAACTTTATGTTTTTTTCAGAATACAAAAATTTACCCATGTCATCTACGCCATTCGAATCGAATTTAACAGAAAAACACTTGAAACAATTCATTCACAGTAAGTAACATATCAGTCCTTTTGCAAATATAGATATATATTTATATTTATGGTATAAAAGTTGATTTCATAAGTTTGAGTCTTGACTGACGAGGTTTTTTGTTTGGAATGGTGTGTGTGAGGTGTCAATACTTTGCTCACATGTCATTTGCAATAATATAATAAACTATTTTCACCGTGTTGACCACAAGGTTGGTTTTCTAAACCTACCGATACCCACGGGTTACCGTGGGTAGAAGAGACACGTTTAACTAGAGCACGACAAACTGGGAGATGTGGAATGCGGAACTCGTCTCCTAATGTGAGCCATGGTGAGAAGGTAGCAGAGAACACTGGAAAGAATTGAAAGAACTAAAAGATGGTGATCGAGGATTCTACTGGCTGATCCCTTCGCAGACATCGGAGCTGTTCTTTCCCCTGTAATTTAAAAGTTGACAAGTTAAAAATAATTGCACGCTAAACTTGACTACCTAAATATGTCTCAAGTACACATAAAACTACCATCCGCATAATTTCAAATTTGAAAAGACAAATCTTAAACTGCTTTTCATGGTTAATAACAATAAACAATTACCGTTTGCCAAAACGTGAACTCTGACAGCAGCAACATCAGCGTTGGATGGACTACAACTGTAAATTAACATTACACATTTCTTTTTAGCAATGGAAATATCGCCGAATTTGTATCTCGCATTGCGACAATTAATAAGGAAATGCTATTTTGAATGAAATGTGTTAATATATACAAATACATAAAATGATTTCATGTACTATGCATGCATATTATAAGTTTCAGTATTTGAGGTAAACCCTTTCTTCATTTTTCAATCCATGTTCATATTCATCATTCATGGCATGATATTTATTGTTTGATGTACTCACCTATATTTCCCACTATCTGAGACCATAGCGTTTTGTACAAGCAAGTACGATGTTGTGGTTTCTCCTTTTTCCGTGATAACTGAGACACCCCCTCTTTCCGAATTGTAATTTATAACCTGCAATTTTGGTTAAGGGCAGTTAGTTTCATTAGTCCATTGGGTTTTCAGCCAAGCATTCCAATTCACAATGAAATCCACGATTTTTCTCGCCTACATCCACACCTTTTCGCAAGAGTGGCCAAACGAAAAGCTGTTTGCAAGATTAAGTACTTTTCGGTGACTTAAATTTCACAAGACTATTGCCGTTCCCATTCGCGTCATTCGCGAATCCAATTTCTACTCGAGATTTAACTCGTATGTGTTATGTATTAGCTCCTCCACATAAACGGGTACAAAACCATGTACATATTAAGAACCCTTCATCGTCAGCAATTGAAGTGAATGAAAAGTTATATAATTTACGAAAAATAACCAAAATAAAATAACCAAAGTATGCATTTACGTGGTGGAATATGGTTATAATATAGAAATGGTATTCATGAAGGCAAAAAATTGATTTCAATATTAAATAATATCAAATATCTTCTGGATTATTCACGATAAGTTATATAACGGACAGTGGAATTTTTGGAATTTATTCACTGTCTGCTACATGCAAGGATGAAGGATACTTGATCAACTCAGCTCACTTTAGAATATGTGAGCATCACTGTATTTGAGCCAAACTCATCCTCAGACTAAATATGCATAGTTGAATTGTTTTTGGGCGAATATAAATGTACACAGAATGTATTGTATCTATCATCCTACTCGACTTATTTAATTGTGCGCACTGCCTTTAAAATTTCCCAAAGGATTTGGGTTATTGAGTGTAGTTCAGCTGACTTGCTAATCCAATTACGGTCGACTAGGTAAATTCAAATTAAACAACTCGAAAGTGAATGGGCCAGAAGGGAAGGATTACTGTGTTTGAAACGTACACTTGTGTAATGAAATTCAGGAAATCATAAGAGTCTCCTTCAAATACGGCACATCCTTAGGAACATGGCACAGTAATTAAATCTTTGTCATGAACATGCGACAAGGAAAAATTACTCAGAGTACTAATAAGATGGCGTCGATCAAATGGAAGGGCTTACCTCGTCATAATGATACCAGAAACTGTAGGAATATATTTAATATCATATAAATTAATATGTTTCAACTCGTCCTTCGACAAATAGATATATTAAATATATTAAATGGAGACTTGCATATAGGATGGTGGTTCAGGGCTGTATTTGATAATGCAGGTCAAATTAATCATGCTTCCTTTGTCCACGTGTAAGTCAGGCCCACCAAGAATTGAAGCAGTAGGCACTAAAGAAGAAAAAGTTCGGTTACACAGGTTTTACAATTTTATACATGTCCATATTTATGTGCAGATTCAACTGCTTGAGAAAGCTGTACAATGACTGTGGTGCATATGTAAATACACATGTAGAGATATACATACTGAGGTTACACCCTCAGGCGAAACATAAAAGCAGAGATAACATTTCCAGGTTAATTTTTTATGCTGGAAAGAGTGCCAACCTTATCCCAGCACAACGATTACCACAAAATAAACCCGCATGGCGACATGAAAACTGTGCGAGTTGGACAGACGAGTGTAAACCCGGTAGACAGAGAAAGTATGTGTAATCAGTATTCAAGACATGCGACAGTTTTGCATTTATTCTTTTAACCTCGACCAGACAGAGATGCTAATGTCATTATTTTTACATCAAAGTTTATTTTTGCACTGCATTAAAATGAGTCAAATAGAGTAGTGAGGGATTGGGAAGGAGAAAGTCAAAAGTTGTGTTTCCACTCGGCCAGAGCTCGAGAGTACTTAACCGCAAATCAGTGATGTGGAAATACAAACGAAAATCATTCTAATCGAAAGAAGAGGCTAACTGGGTCGAATTAGAACATGCTCTATGATCCTTGAATAATGTTTGGAGTAGGGAAAGCAGGGCTACAAAAGGGTATCACACCGTAATTTTACTCTTTTTGAGGTTACAACAATCGCTATCTAAACGGCTACGTTATTAGCCAAGCACAAGTTTGCGTATCATAGCCCAAAGCATTCCGGGTTTCAAAGGGATTCGTAGCAATTTGTGTTATTCCTCCTTGAAGGAGACGAGACGAGGAAAGCGAGCAGAGACGGGAGAGCTTTTTCCAAGTGCCTTTAGTTACTTTTTACAAATGTGTAGAAATCCCTGAATGGGAACAATGTAGCCTCTTGACTCCCGCCTTTGTCAGAGATTAGTCCACCTCTCTCATCCTCTAAAATGAATGCAAATTAGGACAGGGCGCTATTAATGCAAATACTCACAAATGCCAAATTTTATTACTACTCTGTCCCATCTTACGTCTCCTTCTTTGTGCTCCTACGCAGAAGCCGTGGTACACGTTCCCTCGTAAACTCGACACTTTCTTCGTCGTCGTCTGTATAAATAGTAATACGTAATCGCAGTAGCCAGTTCTGTTCCACTCCAGAGTGGCATTATTACAAGGCATTTCACAATCAAATGAGACTAACGACAAGACCATGTACATATGTGCAGATATGTATGTATGTACATACGGTGTCAGTATATACGGCGTCCCTATTTGCAGTCTCTATGCTACTTGCATTCATTCTCACGTGACACCACAGCCTGAACTAAGGAAACAACTCGGAAAGACATCACGTACTCAATATTTGAAAAGCACACAAACAATAAAATCCACCTCGCCCACTGCTAAACTACAGAATACATAATACAGAAACATGATACTCCAATAGTCATGCAATGATAAGGATGAGGTGTTCGGGTAGAAAGTTTCGGAACAAGGCAAGAAAATGTCTCTAGTATTGCAATGCATTTAAAGTTGGAAATGCCCAGCCCAGCCCAGAGCGTGTGCAAAAAGGTTGAAGAGAAAGTACGGGGAAAGCGCGACAAGGCGAAACTGACGGAGGAGCAGTGGTGAAGGGCGATGGTGTGGGATGAAACTCATGCATGGAGATTATTTCGTTGCGAGTATAGCAGTACGTATTCACTTATAAATACAAATGTATTTCTGGTGGTGGTGGGAGAGGGGGAATGCTTGCCTACTGCTCTTTCTCTCCACTTTTCTTCTTTCTACCGGAACACTTTTGTAGATTTTACGAATGCAAATTGGACTCGGCGTAGTCTCAGTTGCACTTAAATTAGCAAATTTTGTCCCAGATTTCCTCAACTTGATTAAATTCAACACTAGCCACACATGCATCTAGCTCTCGGGATTCACAATCTCGTCATTCTACTCCTTCCTTAGCTCACTCTTGTTTCCATTGTTGCTTGGAAGAGGGCGATTACCGTTATCATATATAATTAAATTATGGAAAACAATATTTCAGTGCGATTTTTTACTATTTTTATAGCCTGTCTCTTGTACTAGACTTGTTCATACCTATCTATGCGTACCCAAATAGGAGGTTAATTATAAACAGGGCTATTTATTTACGAAAATACAATAATTTATGTTAAAACTCTAATACAAAACATTGCATAAGTACTCATAACTTTAAGAATTCTTTAACAAGTCGTCGTCTGCGTTCGAAAATAAAGATAAACATTGGCCGAGTGAACAAGCTAAATTTTCAGCAGTAGATCATTTAAGCTGTAGAAGGATGCATGCACGTAGGAAACTGTGGGGGCAGTATACACGCAGAAAGTAATCTCTCTCTCTCTCTTAGTATTCGTCGATCATGCCGCGAATATACCGACGCAAGGAGAGTGGAGATGCAGCTCAGACGTGCCATGTGTCTGGTGAAAGCTTCATGAGAGAGGCAACCAAATTCCTGGGGGTTTGAGAGACTACGCAAAACTTTCCCCAGTGCACCCCTAACATTCGTCTTCTCCCTCTCAACCACTTTCTCCGTTAGACTGCCTGCCTACCTACGTACGTACGCGAGACGTGTGAAGCGATGGACGGGAGAGAAGAGCCTTGTCTGATTTCATTACCTATTCAGTATTCATTGTTGTGTATTCAGAACAAGGATTTAGTCAGTCAGGAACTATTTTGATCCAACCCTTTCGTTTCCTCACCACCAGCCACCAGAAGATATACACAGTTTATGCTCGCATACAAATTGTCAATCCACCTTCTTAACTATCCTCGTCTGGAAACTTGCATAGTTTACAACTTTTGTGATGGCTTCAGTGACACTCAATGTGCAAGTCCTATCGAAGTAATGGAACTCATTACACTATTTAAATCATTTACTTTATATTTAAGTACTTGCAGTATGCTAATTTACAGCATGTTGTAAATCTTGATGCAAATCAATACATTGATCCTTAATAAAAATCTTAATTCTGTGATTATGCATTCATTATTTGATTTCATAATGCCTTAAATCATGTGATAAAGCCAATTAGAATAATTTATAATTGGGCAGAGAATTGGTTTGCTGGTTATGCTGCGTATTTAATACGACTCACACCGTGAACAATGCGCTGGCATTTGAATGAGCCACGTACGTTGCTCCTCCTCGCAATTAAACTGGAGCATACCTGGGCGTCGGTAAGCCAAGGGAGAGGGTGACAGCAGGAAGTTCCTCCTGCATGCATAATCTTGGAAACTATTTTATCGTGGCGGAGAGAATGTATACGAAAATGTTGAAATCGTCCAAACGACCACGTTTAAAAGTTTTACAACGTCATAAACTGGCTTATGAAAGTACGTACTAGCAAACGAGATGACGAAACCCTATTGGATTGGAAATGTGTTTTGTCCTGTTGCATTGTTCTCCTTTTCCTTGTCATTTTGCCTTTGTACTCAAGAAAATGGATAATACTGCTTGTTGTATTCACGGAACAAGAGAATATTCCTGTTGTTCGTCTTTATGAGAGCACAATACGGAAGCATATAGGCAAAGAATACTGCTCTACTTCCCGAATTAATTATACTTGCCAACGACATTGAGATTAAAGACATAAAAGAAATTCGAGATTCTTACCAACAACGTTGAGATTGACGTAAAAGCTGCGATGGGGTTGGGTAGAGATTTGGCAGATGTACATCTGCACAATGAGGACAGATTTTATAAGCCTCTCCGTTTTTGATATTCCAATACGTATTTTCAAATTAATATTTTTTTTAATATACTCACATTCATATCGCGAGGCTGGACATATTTAATCTGAAGGATCCACTCCTGTACGCAAAATGTAAAAGTTTAGTATAAATCGTTCAACAATATTGTATGCCATTACTAAATGTCAAATCCATTTGAGCGTTAACATTGGACGTAAACTATACACGCATATTTTAATTGTTAATAGTTGTAATAAACAAGAATAGATTTAATATTTAGGCTGCTCTTACCTCATGTGCAGTCCTTGAGTGAATGGCTTGGAACCTTTGATCACTGGTATAGGTGTAAGTCGCCACTGTCAGAATGTGAACATCTCGATGGCGAACCCAAGATACCTGTAACAAGATATAATTTGCATATTAAGATAAAATTATAAAGTGCCACAAACATTATTTTATTTAAGTATTTAATAAAATTCCTTTCGAATTACATGTATTGTTTTTTCTCAGCAAGAAAACAGTTTATTTTGGAAACAAACATACATAAGGTGTGAACATGGTTGAAAAATAATTCCCTACTTTTTTATTTCCTATAGAAAAAACAACCGCATTTCATATCTGCTAGTTTCGATCTTGGTTGATAAATATGTAGTTTCATGCGACTGACACTTGAAAATTTAGCATGGGCTAATTCAATATTGTCGTGCTGTGCTGCCCTATAATTTGTTCGTGTCCATTTTGTTCGGAAATTCAATAGACAACGATATGCATCATCTGATACGAAATAAAAAATGGAGTGAATATCAGTATTATGCACAAATGTAAACATGTAAGCACATGGTGAGTAAGGCCAGAGTACATACAGTATCCCACTAAATTGTAGATGCAGTGCATGCATGCCTTATACAAATCACAAGTCTTCCAAAACGGGTTAGTATTTCAAATTGATTTTAACACCAATTATCAACAATATTTCATACTACAATCGTGCAAAATTTCAAACAAATTCGTATAAAACTGATAAAGTTATGGATATTTAAATGTCACAAAGTTGCAAATTGCACGCCACAAGATTGTAGATGCAGCTGAGTTTAATTATGGTGACGACCCAGTCTTTCAGTCTAGAGGCAAATCTCGTCAAATTTTTTTTACACTACAAATCCAATCATCCAAAGTCATTAATTAATTCAATACCATATAGTCAATTTTTAAGGGTGAAAAGAATATGTTCGAGTGACGAAGAATATAAATTCCATATGAACGATATGTTTCAAAAATTTATCACTAGAGGATACCCAGAAGTACTTCTCGAAACAATAAAATCTAAAATTACAAACATGGATAGGAATGTCATTTTAAGACCCAAAACTAATCTTATTTTAAACTCATTGTCCAATAATAATCCCAACATTTTATGTAAATATCCTAGTGACTTGAAACTGAACAAAATGGGACAAGAAAATGTATACCTTGTAATGCCATACTACAAAAACATGTTCAAGTTCAAAGATATGCTTATTAACTTTATTCATAAGGAGAACGCGAAAGGTGATTCGGATGAATATAAGCATTGTATATCCAAGCTTTCATTCATTATTTCTTATAAGAAAACCAATAGATTAGAAACCTTCTGCAATTCTAAACCAAACTCAGTGTAAATCCATTCATCACATTAACCACACTCACTGTTTAACTAAAAACTACAAGAGAAATAATTGTAAAACAAAACACGGTAATTTAAATTCCTAGCAGCATTTTATATTTGTTAACTTACATTTAGGGGCATTTTGTAATTTAATTGTAATTTAATTTTAATTTTGTAGCCTGATGAAGCAGAAATAAATTGCGAAACGCGTCGCGAGTTTTTTCAAAACTTTGGTTGGAATTGCTTTCCCCACTTATTTCGAGTTTAATTATGGTAACGACCCAGTCTTTCAGTCTAGAGGCAAATCTCGTTCGGGATTGCTTATGAGGGATAAGAATTGGTGTTTGAGCTGCCAATAAAAAATATTTTGTGGAGGTCTTATTTTAAAATAGTACCTAACAACGAGGTCAAGCTAGAAACTCTGGCAGAAAATGTTGCGGGTCGTGAAAATGGGTGAATTATGGAAAAATTGGCGAAAAACTTGAAATTGCAAGACAACTTGTACAATATATAGTCCAAAAAATGGGATTAAATTGCAACTCATTTTTACCATCAAGGCATGCGTCCAAAAAACGGTACATCGCCGTATCATGATACGGTACTAATAAGAATTGTTAGGAGGGTCCTCGTCTGGTCACACCAAAAGTTGCGAGAGGTATTCAAAGCGACCTTTTTACAGATGTCAACCTATAAAAGATTAGAAACAGGCTGATATTCGCGGAATTATCGGGAGATTTGGGAAAATAAACACCTAAGATCTCAGTGGGACACCTCAAGAACTCCTTAGCGTTAATAAGGCAGAGCACAGAAGGTCTGCTTGTGACAGGAAAAATTTTTGCTTCTTGGATGAGACCAAAATTCAACTTCCTGGTTCAGATGGAGTTACCAGAATGTGGCGGAGGCAAAACAAAAGTGCCAACAATTGATTTCTCGGGCCAATTGTTAAAAATAGACGTTTCAAGGAAATCTTGGCTGCGGGTACATTTAGTATGTGGTGTGAAACTTTCGAATTCTTTCCGGAATGTAAAAGTTTGAAGCAGTTTCGGTTAGAACTGGGTAGGGACATTGAAATGTGTCCTTGACATCATGACAAACAAGGCTTTTCTTGATTTGTTAAAAATAAAGCTTTGTCGATTTGAAGCAAACTCGGACTTTAATCAGAGATTTATCTTCAAACATTGCGAGTATTAAATAAAATAATTTTAAAAAAGCTTGCTTAGGTGAGGCGCTAAAAGTGAAAAACAAGACCTCTGGGGATCTCTTTTAAATATCTCGTCCCCTCGTCATTGTAACAGGAATTGGTGGCTTTGCATCACCGCGAGGCCAAACATTTCGACCATATAACATTAACATGCCACCCCGTTGATTACACACAACGACGAAAATACAAATTACATTTGCTGCTAAGAGTATACAAATTGTAGATATTTATTACAAATTAAAATTGTGCCAATATATGTACGTATGGATTAATGCTTAAACAAACGATTATTGCTTCGGACGGCTTGTAAACCTGAGTTGAGTTTGCTAAAACTTGCGGAGGATGTAAATAATGCATAATTTACCAAGTAGTAAAATATCTTTATATAGCTAACAATTTAATTCAATGGTTAGGCAGTACTTCAGCCAGCTAGTAAAATTTGAAGGACGTGTACAATTTTCCGCACGTCTTATGCACATCACTTCAACCACGTTTGACGAATTTCAGAAATGTTGTCTCGGTTCGTAAATTTAAGAATAGTATTTCCATCTTGACCCATGGCTGCATTAACAATTACAGTTTTATCAACAGTGTTATCAACGGTAGTAGATATGTATTGAAATATTAGCTATTCAAAATAACTCAATACAGTAACTGTTTGTATCAAGACTGGTGTAACTATTAGATATTTCTTAATTTTATGTAAGGTTCAATAATGTATATACCTATGTATGTGGCATGCGCTGTGCGTCATTATTTATGCGGGTTTGTATTTTAAGAAATGAAAATGCCGACGAACACATTTGGAGGATACCACATATATTTTTAAAGTGTTTAATAGCACAACTAGTTTTCAATACGAATGAGAATGTGATAATGATAATTTTGAAAAATTTGTAAACCCATATTTTTCTCTAACGAATTATTTTGATTGTTAGAAGCCAATAGAAGCTTAGCGTAAAATGTTTGGCCTCATGTGATGCAAAGCCACCAATTCCTGTTACAATGACGAGGGGACGAGATATTTAAAAGAGATCCCCAGAGGTCTTGTTTTTCACTTTTAGCAGCGCCTCACCTAAGCAAGCTTTTTTAAAATTATTTTATTTTATAATTTTAAGGGTTATGCATTTTCAGACAATTCATTACACTGGTCGAAATTGTGAACCTATATTTCAAATATTGTCAGTTTTTTTTAAACTGAAGACAAAATACAAAATCAGTTGAAAATACCCATAGGAGGTTGAAAAACTAATTTACCACGCATTTAAGAAACTCTAATTTTATATTTCACATCACTGGTTGAAATTCGGTTAAATAATTTGGTAATTACTTTCGCTTACAGAGTGGGCTGAGAGTGGAATTGCTTTTCTTCTCGGCTAAGGGATTAATGATAATCGTCAATCCCTAGTCCGGATTAATAATCAGGATTTACCACAACTTCAACCAGCAAGTGTGCCTTCAATTGTTTTCTAAGCGGTCATTCGGTTGGTTATATTGAGGCACTTCATATAAGGTACATATGTACCTGTGTTGCAATTTCATAACACAACTACTCCTGTTTTTTACGATACGATCCTCGACGTCATCACTCTCATTACTAATAGCATTGCAGTGGTGACGTGGAGGGTCATATCGTAAACGGACTGTAGCTCCATTTATAGAAAATTTGTATACTGGTTGTTAAGAACAACCAGCTAAGAATATCGTAATTCTGATGATGAATGCTTAGCAACATGAGTAGTGTCGGATGCCTCCATCAAAACTTTTTTAGTTTTAAACCAATCTCCATCGGATTTGCTTTAAATGAGGCACAACCGATTTCTGCATGATAAAATCAGGTTTTATGCATATAGTCGTTTGGTGCAAGTGTCTCAAATTTCGATTCTAAAGTTTCAAATCGAGATTAGAGAGCCCACGATACAACTTTTATACCGAGAAAGCTGTAAAACATCATCTCCTCATTATCCTCTGCACGATTGCCTTTTACACTTTTTGGCTATCTTTAACCGTTTAGGCTCTACCCTTCTTGACATTTTCAAAGGGTATATACGAAAGCATACTTAGGCTTCGCCGTAACCATGGTGACACTTTTTTTTCGGGCACCCATGCTTACTTTTGCCTCACCTAAGAATAAATATTACAAAACCCATCTCAAAGTGCCTCAAGGAAAATAAAATGAAGATTTTGGACTGGGTTTGCCAATTTTCTGACCTCGGGGTGAGTAGGTATGGATACCGGGAAAGCGTTGGGCGGCATAATGGAAACCCACAAATCCAGCTTATCTGAAAACTATGATCACAGAAGAGTGGGGGAAATTCGACCAAAGTGTCACTAAATGATTGGTGGAGTCGATGTTCAGACGAATTTAAGCCGGTATTGTCGCTAAAAGTAGGCACACAAAATATTAAATGCGCTATTTACCTGCATCTACAATTTTGTGGCGTGCAATTTGCAACTTTTTGACATTTAAATATCCATAACTTTATCAGTTGTAAACGAATTCGATTGAAATTTTGCACGATTGTAGTATGAAATATTGTTGGTAATTGGTGTTAAAATCAATTTGAAATACTAACCCGTTTTTGAGTATTAGTGATTTGCATGAGGTATGCATGCACTGCATCTACAATTTAGTGGGATACTGTACATGCTCCTGCTTACATAAGAGCAACAAACGAGAACATGCACTTTTTTAAACGTTCAAAATACTGGTTACTAAAAAATCACTTGGTAGCACCAGCAGTAAAATATCATTACGATTTATAAAGAGAAAGCAACAATGATAAGCCCTTGTGTCTGTGGAGAAAGAGAAAAAGAGAAAAAACGTATAGATTTTAATCTCTCTTATTTACGCTTCAATAAACATGTTTTTTCTTAGAACTTGCCTCCCTTGGTACATTATATACATTATGTAACAAACAAGTCCAAATATCAACTTCAGTCTATATTGTAAACGTATTATACGCGTGTGTAATAAATACTACGCCTTTCCCAAGCGGTTGTTCACGATCATAATCAAACACAAGGCAGGCTAAATTGTCCGCAATGGGACCAAGAAAATAACTACTGCAAGCTTTCACTAGTCACTAGTGATCCTGCCAAGAATTAACTTTAATTCACATAGAATTTATTCCTGTCGTCTATCCGGTCTGAAAACAAAATAAAAAATAAGTTTCCAAAGGTCATAAATATTTTACATATTTTTTTACATTCATTTTTCCACGGTGGTTTCAAAGCAATGCACAAATAGTTGCCTCACTAAAAATAATTTTAGGAATCAAATAAGAGTGCTAGACCAGTCATGATACTGAATTATGTCCATTCAGACCAAATAGATTGCCCAATATATTCTTAGCATAGAAAACTTGCACCAAGTGGGTTGTAATTTATTTTGCATAGGCATTAATATGCCTTATCACAATAGATACTGCCTGGTGATACTGACTCTGGGTGTAATCAACACTAGAAAAATTATTATTCAAGTTCAATTGAACGAGAGAAATTTCTCGAATGCATGTTAGTGTCAAATAAAATGGGGGATAAAGTCCATCCTCTCGTCGAAACTCATTCCTGATATCCCAGGAAAACTTTTTATGGTAAAAATTTTGGCATGTATCCCATGAACAAGTAGTTAGTCTGTGCCCTGAATATATTTCAAAGTTCTCTTTTCTACTGTAATTTCACAAATCATTTGTGTTGCAAATAAAATCTGGAGTACCGATGGATTTATTCTGCATTCCTTATAGCACTAGCGTACTGCACATGGTTGTACACAATGACCACATATATTTAAACGTTGAATAACCCTGATAAGTTTAATTGATTAGTTCACTATGACTCTGAAGAATTAATTCATGGAAATAATGAGTAAAAAAATTATCACAGATGTCCGAGTAAAATCAATCGATAGGAATAAAGGTCACTGAATTTTCATTACAAAGTGGTTTCAAGCTGAAAACTGAACATTATGTCAGCTCATTGTTGAATATTGTGCAGGTTATGTAAAGATATTGCGAAAGACAATTAATCGAACTTCAAGATCTATTACTTTAGAGCAATCAGATGACTAAAAGCAATCTCGACATTAATGTGGACATGTCTCCAACTCATGAATCAACAGTTTTCAAAGGAGTTGAACCTCACACTATTTCTATTATGAGTAACAATGACAAGACATTAACAAGGGTAATGGCCACCGCATGCACTGACTTTAAATAGGCAATTCATTAAACTAATAAATAACGTGCCAACACAACCTCGACACTGATATACCCGTGTTATTAATAATACAAAGTTATTACCATTATGTTCCCCAGCCAGCAAACAAAAGACGAGGGCTCAGACAAAGGATGCGTAGCAATGGAAGTTTGTTAAATTGGGATCAACTTGTCTCAATTTAATATTGGTACAGTGAGGTTGCAAAAAATAACATATTGCATATCAATGGCATTCTCTGTATCAATTCATGCCATCAGCAACGTGAAGGTTTGAATTCTGTAATTTTTAAGCCTCTAGGCAGATACCACTGTGCTGGGTTATGTAAAATCAGTATCAATTTTCTTGCTGGGAAGCACTTGATTCTGTGAGCCACACATGACACACGTTAAGTAAATGTATGCGCAAAATTTCTTGAAGAGAAGGGTGTGGTGATATTTGTCAGAGATTAAGTAAATGTCAATCGATCAATAAACTTTGTCTCAATTTATTCAGCATTATTTTACTCCTCAGTGTTTCGATCCAAGTAGCAAGCATGGTCAACCTTATAAATTTACAGCACCTCATGCGCCCTGGTGTGCAGCTTATGCTATGTATGGTGCTCATCATTTGCATAATTACACAAAGTCCGAATGTTTAGCAAATAAATTGCTTACTAGATAAGCAGTTGCTCATTATAAGTATATATGTACAAAATATGTACACATTATAGTATTCCAGGGAATTAAGACATGTATATGTAACCACACATACAGATTTTATTTGCCATACAAATTTTACGCACACTGGCATCTCTAAAATTGTCCCATAAAATCCGAGAACAAATTAAACTAGGTCAAACAAGGAACACAAGATTACCTGCAATGAAGAAATTATAAAAGGTCACGCACGTTTCACTCTAAATAATTAAGAGCTGTGCTTAGTTTATAAAACTTTCATTATGATAGACAGATTCGTCAATTGGTGATGTCCATTGATTGATTAGACTGAATGTGACCTTTTCATTCGTGAGAAACAGACAGATATTTAATGCAACTTTGATTAGACTTACAAAAGTGAAAGGCCACCAGCTACATATAAACTCTAAACTTTATTCCCCCAATGTCTCATGCCTCTGCATTAAAACACTTGCCCTCATATTTATATTTACATAGAAAATAATATGCGATTTTGTTGGGTCATTGTTATACATGGAAGGTTTTTGAATTATTGCTGGCCTAACCCTTATGCGTTGTAGCCTATATGCTTAAGTTCTAGCTATGCATACGCCTTGAATGCACCAAAGTTTCCTCTTCCTATATAAGCTGGCCAGTGGGTTGAAACAATATCAGTTATCCAAAAACTTTCAGTACAGTTTCAATACATAAAATATTGCTCTCTAAATTACAATGTTTGCCAAGGTAAGGAAATCGTAATTTTGTAGATATTTTCCATTTTTAAACCGAAACTTGATTTGGTACAGACGATCATCCTCTGCACCGTGGTCGCTGCTGCAGCAGCCATTACTCCAGGATACTTGGATGGTGCTTTGGCCCTTGGAGCCCAATCTGAACACACCGTCCGAGGATTTGCAGGACTTAGCTCTGTCTCCAAACAAGCCAAGGTCGATTCCTCGATTATTTCTTTGACTTGTGGCATTTTAAAACTTTCATTTCATATTTTTTTACAAATAGGCGATTGATTCTCCCTACTCTTCCGTTCGAAAAACCGATATCCGAGTTACCAACGATGGTGCCTATGGATATGCCGCTCCAGCTTTCGGATATGCCTCCCCCGCGCTTGCCCATCATGGGTATGCTGCCCCCGCTCTTGCGCACCACGGATATGCCGCTCCCGCTCTTGCCCATCACGGATATGCCGCTCCCGCTCTTGCCCACCACGGATACGCCGCTCCAGCGCTTGCGCATCATCATGGATATGCTGCTCCCGCTCTTGGTCACCCGGTGGCTCATGGTTTGGGTGTAGCTTATTCTCCAGCAACCGCTGTTGCAACTTCAACTTTCTCTGGATACGGAATCCACTACGGGTATTAATTAACCTGATAACCCACTTAGTCAATCAACCCTCAAAATTTCACCTTAATGTTTCACGAACTTGTCCATTTTAAATTATTGAATTTTAAATGTAAATAATTATTTTATCAATTTGATAGTAGCATTACGAAAATAAAAATGGCTTACAGTTGTTTAACTGGTGCATTGTCCACCTACTTCTGAATGTCGTAGGAGATTATGATATTGCCCGAATATTACTGCACGTCTCAAATTTATGAGAACGTATTAAGCGAAACTCTTGTGAAGACGAATTGGTGCCGTCGTATCTCCCTTCAAAGACTGGAGTCTTGAAATCCTCAGGGAGAAAGACAAAGTGGAGCACATTTTGACCTTGGTTCCCATCATACCACATTTTCCTGTGCTGTACCACGATACATATACCAAGACCACTAATAACAACCCGCAAATGAACCTGATATCTTGACTGCGCCACCACATGTACGGCTTTGTTTTGGAAATAGCAATAACAAACCCTAGCACCTCCAGGCCTGAAGTAATCTACGTTAGAGCAATCTATTTTCCTCGTCGTTCTCAGTAACTACATGCTACATATTTATATAGTTATGAGGATGTACAACATTTTGAAACTAAATGACTCTGATATTTCAGGCCAGATAAGCCGCATCATTATATCCTCTTCTTCCTGTGCCTTTGGAATTAGGACCCATTTCCTTCTAAGTAGCTCCTCCATTTCATCCCGCAAAACAAACACTTCATTCCTTCATTGAACCAAGAGCAGCAGCGGGTCAAATTTGGTTTCCTATTTCAAACTAAAATCCTTCAACTACATACTTTCTTCTCTCCGCGAGAGAGCTGCGTAGTGACGTGACCCTTTTCTTTCACTCTCGCTTTCACTCCGATGATCCTCGAAGAGCCCACATCAATCTCGGCAAGCTTCCACACTGGACTGACGGCGAGACAGAGTCATCCATATAAATATCTGACATGTCCTCCCATCCAATACAATATTCGTCCCCGCCCTGTACAACCAACGACTTTGGCCTTATGGTCAAGACCCTCGCTATGTAGGTCGTAAGTCCACAGAATTGTCCGACGATGGTACTTTGGGAAAGTGGTTATTTTAATCCGGAAGGTAAAAAAGGCTTTGACAAACTAACATATTTCGCAATCATCATGGTTCGGTTTTTCTCAAGTGACGCCCATGTTTCATTTCCTAATTGAGGATACGAATAGATTGTTCAAACGTATACAACTTTCGCAAATGTTTATTTGGACACAATCTGGGAAATGGGATAAAATAATTGGTTGGCAATTTAACTTATTTACGTTCGTTCACTAGAAAAATATGTGTTTTGCTGTAATTATTGTATCAAGAAGACCAGATTTATACAGACCACAGACGGCACAAATTTATAAAATCAAACATTTGCCAAGGAAAATTTGATGGCAAATGAAATTAATCGAATGATAGAGAGTGCAGAGGACACGGCATGGTTGCAAGCTTCACAAATGACAATGGATTGACGGCTTTCTTTTTCAAGAAATGACAGCATTTGTGGTGGGTGGTCTACGACACAGTGTGGGATAGATCGACTGGATGCTTTGTAAATACAAGTTATGAAGGAGTGGTACTGGCTCGCGTGTTCATATCATGGAGGAAACTTTAATTCTACTTGGACGTGACGATGGAAGGAAAAAAAGTCGGATTTTCTTGTCACCACATCACAAACAGAAGAAATAAAAAGTTGACTCCTTAAGAATTCCGCACTCTTGTTTGAGATGGCAACCTTTTAATCTGCTTTTGCTTTGGACACACTTCTTTCTTTTCTTTTGCCTTTCTCTGATTCTCATTTTATCTCATCCCGAAACTTATCACTGCTAACACTCCTCCTTTTCGCCTTGCCTCCCTCAAACCAACTTTGCTTCGTACAATAGCACTTTGATCGTAGCCATGTTGCAGCAGGGGTTTTGGTATTGTGTGTTTTTATGTATTTGTATATCGAGATATGACTTGATAGGCCATGACCCTATGCGTACATCAATTGTCGCACTTGGACAGCGTGTAAAATTGTGCGTCTAAGATTTTGTAGTTTTATAAGCAGCCAAATTTTCAATGGAGAAATGTAGGACATTATTATTCCTATTATTATTCCTATTTATTATTATACATACAGCTCATTCTCTTGTTTTGCATTGCGACTACGTTTTTCAAGGCGGTGTGGTACCTCAATGCCACTGGGAAGTCGCCCACCCGCTGAAAAATTGTACTACGGCTTGATTGCGACCACCGAATTTTTTTTGGAGTCCACGGTTTGCTCGCTGCTTTGTGATCAAGTTATTTTTTTAACACTTTCACAAGCCAACAACCGTATAAAATGCAACTGAAACCAACCCGATAGAAACACCCGCTGTACACAGCTCTTCTTTATGATTACGCTTTCAGAAACATATTTCTCTTCCGAGATTATTTCATGGTTAATAAATAAAATATTCTGAAACTTTTCCTTATTAAATCCGCATGTCAAAACCAAAACTTCCGAATTGATGTATTATTGTTAAATCAATCTTTTTCATGAACACGCGTGGGAATAAATAAAGTCAGCCAACCAGCCAAAACTCTACAGTTGCGAGTTTTGCACACGAACTCCCAACTGAAACACTGTGCACGACAAAAAAGTAATTGACAGACGAGGAAATGTATAACTTAAACAACGGCTGGCTTGTTTTGTGACGTGTACAAACAATTCAACAGATTTTCACTTAACGGAGCGTGTTGCTAACCTCCTTTGTTTTCAGTCGTATTGAGTGAAAGCTTAATGGTTTGATATGCCTGGAACTTGTTCCATGTACAAAATTAATTCCACTCTCACCTCACACATCATCAGCCGGAACAAAATTAAACTTTGTTGGTTCAAACTGTGGTAAAATTCTCGACTTGTTGTTTGATTAATGAAATAATGGAGACTGTTGATTGGAGCTTTGACACGGAGCTCAGTTTATTTATTTGCGTATGTGTTTATGTATATGCAACAGAGGAAGAATATTTGAGGAATAAACGGGCATGAACTGGTATTCATCGTTAATTAACCCAAAACAGAAACGCATAATTTAACATTTCCTTCCGTCTGCACCTCCTCCTACCCTCGACTATTATTACCCCCCTACAAAGGAAGGAAGGAAGATCCATTCGTCCTGCCGTTCGAGTCGCACAGTCACGGTTGTCGGCCGAAATGATGATGGAAATAGCTGGCTGGTAGCCAAAGTCAAGGAGTAGTAAAGATAACTTTTGGTAAAAGCCAACTGCCTCACTTTCCCTGGTCGTCCATGTGGTATTTTATTGGAGTTTGTATTCTTCTTTCACCTTATAACCCATCCTCTCTCGCTCTCGCGCGACGTCAGGACATGGCGTCCAACGTGCAGGATCTCAAGTTGGCATTAGCTTTGGTGGCTTTCCTCTTTGTCATTTGGCATTCTGGCTCTTGGCTGAATGACCCAGAAGAGAAAGGTGCTGGATTTCCCTCATATTTTTGCAAGGAAAACATCCCTTGTATGTAATGTATCTAGTATATGGCCCGCGCCCTTATAAGCCAGTCATCACTGTCACCCCAACCATATAGCAACCGTTGATGAAGGATCTTGATATTTGTGTCTTATCACGCACCTTCTTTTGCCCTTTGTTCGCCAAAAAATCTCAACGACTTGAGAGCGTCTGGTCGGAGAATGACGTGCTTTCATAATATCTTACTTGTCTTCTGCGGCTGGGGAAAGGAATTCCACTGTTGTTGCCACATAATGAGTTCTTTTGTGTCTCGAGTTATGCAATGGAGTGAAAGTCGTCGTCGGTGATAAAAATAAGGTGCACTTTCTCAAGAAGTTTTATACAAGCAAGGTGTCCATCAAATAATTGCGTCTATATCACCTAAATACTCAAAATTCCTCGTCTTTCCTTGTTATGCAACTCATACTATTTAAATAGCAAAAAGCGAATAACATAATCTAATAATCTGTAAACCAAGCTCTCATAAAATAAAACATATGCAGAACATGCTTCGTTAGTTCTAAATAACGATGTTTGCAAAGAGAAATAAGCAGAATGAATCGCAAACAGTTTTTTTCAATATACTAGTTTGCATATAAATATTTACTGTGTGTGCTTAATGCTCTTAATGCTTATTCAACTTTTTATACGTAATACCAATAAGAGTTCTATAATATATATGCATATATCTGCACAGACTCAGTTTTTATTGAGTAAGGTGTTCGTAATTGGAATAAACTATGGTTTCATATGCATATGCAATAAGGACATTAAAACTACGAGAAAATTCAATCAGTTAGCCGTGAATATACGCAGGTATGCTCACAGTGACTAAATTGGCAGAGACTGTTCTCAGCCTAATTCCTAAGTGAGTCATATTCCACGACTGAATCTCCAGGCCATTTGGTTGGTGCACCATGTAGTTCGGCAGCTATTAAGAAGAAGAATTCATGCAAAAATTGTAATAATAATATATGCGACAGGCTTGGTTGTTATTAGGCATTGTGAATGTGTCTGTCTGTGTATGTGTCATAAAAAGATCCTGGAAAAGTTACAGAATGAGAAGAAAGGAGAAGAATGTCAGCAATGTCAAGCTTATACTCTCATTTTAGCGAATAATAAAAGGAACAATACAGCACAAAGAGTGGGAGACTCAACTTGAAAATTTACCACCCAGTGTACACGCTATAAAAGCCTGGAACAGTTAATCTTGGGCATGACCTATTATACGATGTTCAATTAACTCACAATGGTGGAGATAGGGCTAAAATGTCATACTTTCTTTATGCTACTTACATACATACTTGGGGCTTCTCATTCTTGCTGCCAACTGAATGCGAACCTCACAAGCTCGCAACATGCTCCTACCACAGCAGAATAACCGTGGATATCAACTATACGGAACTTTTATTCGTTTTACATATATACGCCGTCCTCAATAATGACAAACTTTCCAGGAACCTGTCTACATCATTCTTAAACAATGGCTCATGAAAAGTTGTATAGTTTAGGAGTTCGCTTCAGGTCATTTAGCCAAACAATTACAGTCATGACTTAATGTTGCTTCAAATTATTCATTAAACTTGCACAAGTTTTATAAAACTGTTTTAATCATGTTATATATTACGCTTAAATATGTGCAAGTGTAACGATAGCTAACCTGTATAGGAGATTTGCACATATGAATATTCACGACGAATATTTAAGGACAAAATTAGGATAAAACGATGTTGAAATAGCCTGAAACAAGGAATCTTTTCCCATGGATAAGACTAGCAGAAGGATAAAACATGGTTAGAAAATATACCACACAGTAAGTAAGTACTGCGGCCTTGTAACTACACAGGTGGACATATGTAGATATGCCGAAGCCTTGACATGTACAGGTTTCAAGGAGAAAGTAACATAGCCGACACAGTATTTGCAATAATCTGCATAATATACTTATATTTATGCATGTAGTAGTGGAACGATGAAAAAGAATACGCGTGGACTGGTCGATGTTCTATTCAATAATTCTTCCGGGTGGGCTCCGTCGAAAGCAAAGGCTCACACTGTGAGTTTTATTACATAATTTTACTTAGAAGTCTAACTCATTTTATATTTTGGCAAAACAGGGACAATGGTGTGGCCATAATAATGTCAAGAGAACAATCCCCGAAGCCTTTCACGGACTTTTCTCTCAATTCTCCCTTTGCATGCATTTTGAATGAATGAATGAAGAGGAGTCATACAAAATTCGCCATACACCATTATTCTTTCCTCTGGTTACAAAGAAAATAAATTATCTGCCCAGTTTCATCCACCAACCAAAAATTATCTGAGCATGTAGGGTGGCAGAGAGAGAGAGCCGAGTGTGTAGCTCGTGGAGATCTTGGAGAGAAAGCATGCAATTCATTAGACATTCCTTCGCTTCGGTTCATTTCATGCAAAAGTCATAATAGAGCTGCTGCTGGTGGTCATAGGAGGATGTAGCAGTTGCAAATGCAGACTTGGGAATCTAACGGATTTACCAAAAGATAACGTGGAACACAGATCATCATGTACCACTGGCTGCTTATAAGTAGTGGAGCTTATAGTAACTGCAGCTTTATGTTACTTATGTACGTCCAAGAAATTTTCTATGACACAGATTTAGATTTAAGACTGCGCTTGGAAAAGAGAGAGAGGAAAGTAATGATTATTGCGTAGAATCGCTATAATTCATCTGGCCAAAGAAGTTGGTTTCGGGAAGGAGAGCGAGCGGTGGAGAAAGTTAGAAATCACTTCTTATGACTCTTGCAAACACATGATTAAGTGTGGATCTCCCATGTTGACCTATATTCCCTCGTGTAATGGCAGGATGTATACGTATGCAGCACAATAGGAATTCCCCCTACAATAATAATCTGCTCCACACAAGTTAACCGTGTCCAATGTCTCCATGCAGAAAGTTTACTATCAAATGTACATCTCCATAGTCATTAAGTCACAGACAACGTTGCAAGTTGGGGAACGACGGTGGAAACTTTTGGGATAAATGGTCCTACCACACAGATATTTATCGGCTACCTGATTTCTATTCAGTTTCTGCGTGATTTGGGTAATCCAGTGTCAAAGAGGAACAGGATAGGTTCAAGAGAAAATGCAATAACTTTCCCTTGGAATTTGAGATTCAGTAGGAAAGAATTCTTCCCTGAACTACAACTACATGCAAGTTCATCCCAAAAAAATCCTTTTAGTGGGACGTCTGTATGTATGGATGTGTGTATGTATGCTGGTAAAATTCAGTACCTCCAGCCTCTTCCACTATGTGCTAGTCCTATTATAGTGTAAGGATTTGGCACAGATTTCTAGGAAAGTTTATCTCAGAAAATGGTGGAATTAAAGCTATCACTCTACATCTTGCACCAAGGCTTTCTCCGCGACTTGAACCTATAACAATAAAAGGTGATTGGCTAAATAAATCTGATGAACCTATTTTCTCAGAAACTTTTAGTGCAATGGTAAACATTTCCTCTGGGTTTATCTTTAAAAAGCTGAGCCAAACGTACATCGTATATCCATTTGATGTACATAAGATTGTATGGATGCCTTGTACAAAATCCCTGCTGTTGCGCAAATTTTTTCATAGTTTCTGCGTGCCACATGGCATAGCTAGTGTTAAGGTCAAAACACAAACTGCAATTGTTGCGATAACGCAAACCGATGACCCAAGGCAATTTCTAAACCTATCTCACACATACGTATTCCTGACTCCCTAGAAAAAAAGCGAGTTTGTGACCAAAAGGTGTTAACTAATGCCAACGGTGGAAGCAAATTTATAAAATGGTCACATACTTTCTTTCCTCCTCACATATAATTTTCTTTAACGAGAACACTTTATAAAATTGAGAGGATTTCTTGGGGCCTCATCATCCACGTCAAAATTACCAAAATTCGACCATACGACCTGCCTGGCATTAACGTGCCCGTATTGTGCACAAACACTAAAATAGTGTACAACTACATATGAACGTATCGACATTATGTGTATTACATGTAACTAAATTCATGATATTGACAATAATTTTTGACATTGTACGAACCAGCGCATATTAAATACAATGGGAAAAATAGAGATAAAATCACCGTTCTGTTTCCCAAGTTCTTGACCCGGCATCCCAAGTACGCAGTCTTCCCGACGAGGGCTGTGACGTTGCGTGGAACGGTGGAGTCGAAATATGGGTCTCCAGTGCTGGCAGGGGAGAAGGGGCCAGATTGAAGTGAGCTAAAAATGTTGTGCGTTGACTCTGGCGTTGACTCCACGGCATCATCAACAGTTACGGAGCCTGGAAGGGCAAACAATAAATATTTGTTAGTTAATTTTGATTTAGAGAAAATTTTAATTAACTCGGCAGGCTTATTCATTTTGCTCTCGCTCCGCTTCCATTGTTCGCAGAGTGAAAGCAAGCAAGCAATTCAACTCCAATCTGACTGGCAGCAGTTTTAAACCATATTGATTTTTGAGCTATTTGTATTTCATCAATTTATAAGGCACAGACGGAGTAACAGTGGAGTGGATTTTCATTTTGCCTAAGCTGATATTAGGAGGCACGCAGAATTCCAAGTTACTTACTTTACTCCTCGAGCATATAATGTAGAATAGGGAGCTATAAAATATACATTCTGTGTGTATGGCTGGCTAGCTGGTGAATAGACCAGATCTTGTTACATTTCTAATCAATGGAACATGGAGGAATGAATATTGCATGGGTTTTGAGATTCCCTATACGTTCCGTTCCGTTGTATTAGTGGACACGTTAAAAGCATGAATCCGCCCGACTCCTCTGAGATTTCTTAAGAAAATTGGGTAAGAAAGTTACGAGAGTGCCAGCAGATTTCTACTTGAAAGCTACCAAACCAAGTCCAGTAGGGACCTTAACCACGTTAGCAATGGGGAATACGGTTAAGAAACAGGGCAAAGTTTGCCACTACTGGAGCGACGGTAAATGTGCATGGACGGAGGAGAGCGTAGTAACCGTAAATTCATAAGACGAAGGCGAAGGCTGAGATAAATCTGCTCTCGAAGAGGTTCTCGTGGCGTCGTCGGACCAAACCAAACTGGAGAAACTGAAGTGTTTTCTCAATCAATTTCAACAGAACAAGTTCTAAATGCTGGCCCCAAGTCTTATGCATAGCACAACAAGGAGGAATTTACTTTTGTTGAATTACTTACTTGATACTTTTTGGTCTTGGTTGTTCTAGTCCGCTCAAGTAAGTAAGCGAGTGTGTCTGTATGGATGCTCATACGTAGCGGAGGAGCAAAGTCAAGAGGATGGAGATGGAGAAAGCAGAGGAGGAGATCGAGGGAAAGTAACAGAGCGTTAGGAGAAAGCATAAAATCCTTATACGTACTGCACGCAGTATTTTATGGGATATAATTTTGAAGGATTTTTCCGCTCAGAAACTTTTCCTATTTAAAGTCGCCTTGCCCATAAGTAAATGACACATTGGCTGTCTTTTTCGAATATTTTCCACAAAACTTGGCTCGCACATTCGCTGCACATTCTCCACACTCATTCATAGCCTGGTTGGTTGCTGGTTTGGTAGAGGTTTTGCGGCTGGGAATGAAAGAGAGCTGCGAATGGCAGGATGGCGTGGCAGCAGTCGCGTCGACCAACAACAACGTGAGAAACTGCTTTGGACCTCTGTCAGTACCTTTCAATGTTTGAAGAATGTATTTCCACTCGACCAGAAAAAGTTTTGTTTCAAACAAACTGAAAAAGGGTATTTTTAACTCAATTTTCGTAATAGTTTTTTTCCAAATAGATTCCACACAGTTTTTCACATAACTCACAATGGTGAGTTTTTTCACAAAAGACCTTTAGACCTCAATGTATATATATTTATGTACTTACGCGACTCCAGAATGTAAACCAATACGAGTCAACTTATTTAGCTAATTATTTTGTGTCTCTATTTGCTAGTAGTGAATTATAATTGCAATACACCTTCTGACCTGAAAAACCTTGCTTCAAAGGAAGCTGATTTTTTAAAAGATCGTCAATCTGACATATCCCATACAGGACATGGGAAGGTATTATAAAAGCAGAAGTGGACACATTTATAATTAGTCCTGAAAAGAGATACGGACGAACATTTCAGGCTCGCATATTATGTGCTCACTATAATTTTAAACTTTCTAACGTCGCTTTTGCATTTCGTTGTCGTGCAAGTTCTTGAAACCGACGCCAAAGTAGAAGTTTGGCTTGACAAGTAAAGTGAAATATGTAGGGCAAAAGTACGGGAATGAGGGTATTGAAGTAGTAGTATTAGCACAGAACGAATACGTATGGACCTACATACACACATAGCTTCACGTTATTCCCTGGAGATCACATGTTTTCCTTGGCATTACAAAATTCATGAATACCAACGAGGGAGAGGACCATTCCGTCCCACGTTTGCTACTGCTGACCGTTATCTTCCAAATCTGCATGTTTCTTTTAAAAGAAGAAAAGGGGCGGACGTGGTCTGGCCAAGAATGTCGAAACCAGTCAAAGTTGGTTCCTCAGTCAAACTTTAAATGGAAATTCAAAAAGTCAAACCAAAGTCAGCCAACCAACAAAGTAAAGTAAAATTATGTGTTGCTTGGTTGGATATGTACACACTGCTAAGTGGCTCGGTTTGATCACTCCTTGGTCAATCTTGCACATACACAAATATCAACTATTTTATAATACCTTCTTAATAATACATTACAGGGAAATTTTTAAATTTTGTAACTGGAAGCATGTAATTACATAAATGCACATAATAAGAGTTAAAAATTAATAATTGTCTCACTTTTAGAATTAAACTCAGAATCTTTTGTGACTATTTTAGAAATGCATTATTGTGAATTAAAATAAAGAGAAAGACAATAGAAATTGATGAAAGTGAAACATTAGAGTTTTCATCCGCATTTGACTGGCAAGGCGACGAACCGCCTTGTCATGTAACAAATTGGTGTCAACTCATCTCATGATAGATCGGTGCATTATCAGACTCTTTCTTTATGAGTCATAAAGTGAAGTACCAGCTTCACAAAAAACATGTTATCGTGCATGGAAGCGTAGATAGGGAGCGGACAAATTTGGTGTGAAAAGGCCTTTGGCACATTTTCACATTGATTGATAAGTCCGTGCGAATGATTCTTTCGTTTCTTCGAGACGTGTGCGATTCTAAGCACACATTAAAGCATGAGATATGAAAAACTGCTCTGGAAAATAAAGTGCCTTCCATATATTTCTATCAACTCAGCAACAATCTCTCGCAAAAGTGAAAATTGAATTTCGTTTATTGGCTTTTTCTTCAGAATACGAATATATGTATATATGTGTATCTATATGTTACAAATATGCACGTAATCCATAGCCCGAAAAAGTTTGATGCATATATGTACTCCTCACATAGTTATTCAGTATATTTGTCTAGGAACGCACAACAGTGAAGCAAATAAGTTTAACATTGTTTTTTTCTTGAATGAGATGGAATGCGCGTATCAAGAAGATAGATAGACAGTCAGCACTGCTAAGTCAGAGTGATAGATCGGCTTAGAAATGGGGTGGATTGGATCAGATAGGATAGGAAGATAGGATTTCATTCCAATAATACTTTCTCTCTAATCTGGCCCACTTTGAACTTCACGGGCTCAGCACGGACTGGTTGGATTGAACGTCAGCAAAAAGGGGCGCCACTGGCATGAGTCCATTTGCCATCAGACCTTTATTAGTGTACACATACGCGAGGCGCAGCAGAAACACTCTGACAACTTCAGAACCCACTTCATCCACGAATACTACCGTCGACTTTTGTCAACATTTTTCCATCTTACTGATGACAAATAAATGGAATGACACAACACAAATACGCACATGTAACAAATATTGGTTCATATCAGTTCAATTCAAATTCCCTTAGAGTCACTTATGACATACTTGGCCGAGATACTTTTATAACGAAGAGCTCACCTTCTCCCTCCAAGAAAATTAAAGAGAAGGATTTGGCATTCAGCGCACATCTCGACCACAACTTTATATGTTCTTCATTATGGCTCAGACAATATCCTTTCATTAAATCTAGTTTGCGGTTTTCTACTTTCATCACGACCAGGATGTCGACGTAGAGATGGTAATGTCACGATCGAGAAGAGAAAAGACAAGGAAAAATGTGTCCACAAAGCATCCATGTCACAGTCAATAGATATTGATTAGAGACATTTTTGACATTTGCGACAAAAGTCAAGTCGTGAGTTGGACGAACAAAATATTGTGTCATTTATAATCTTTGTCGTGAGATATTTTATACGATCCCAGAATTTGCTCGGTTAATCCATCCAAGTTTATTAGCAGAAAATAGGAGAGAGAGAGTAATGCAGCTTCAAAAGAAAAGATGACCTGGATAAGCTAAATACTAATATGCTTGCGCAGTACTGACACACTTATTTAGATTACAAATTAATTTCAAATCTTGTCTAATTTCCAAGAAAAGAAAGCTATACGTATGTATTATGGATTCAAAAACTTAATTGTAACCACAAGTTGGCAACATGAACGGGAACATAATCAGTCCTCATTTTATCAGAGTCCACGTATTTACTTGTTATTTAGTTTGTCCATGTTGAGATCAGAATCGAGCAAAGTCACATAATTTGAAGTAGCTGCACAAGAGAATGGCAGCGGCTTTTGCACACCAATCATTCTGCTGACGTTAGAAATCACCGGAGGAGGAGGAGGACGAAGATGGGTGGTCGGAGGCAACATCAACACGACAACTACCTTCAGTCGGCAGCCCTCAGAGGGGAATGCAGAACAAGTTATTTGTTCACTTTAGAAGTTTTGAGATTTCAGAATTGTGAGAAGTTTGCAGACACTGAAGAGTTGAAGTTGAGAGATAAAGTTAGGCTGACTTACTTAAATTAGATTATGCTCTTGGGATTAATTCATTTGGCCCTATGGCTCATTCTTGCACTTTAATATATCATCCTCCGACGGAAAACAATTACACAAAAACGTTAATTGAGAATCCAGACAGAAAAGAGAAGGAAAATTAGTTTGTGATGAAAATGGCAAACGCTTCATATTCGAATGTGTCTTGAAGGAGTTGCCATTTACATAATATAAAACACATTAACTAACTCAATTAACTAGATCAAATCCTTCCAGTGAAACTGTTCATTAAACTCTATACTTATGTAAACGCTATAAGAAACCTTGCTATGTTTATACTTACTCGCTGACTAAATTGCATACAAAAATAGCAACCAGTGCTGTGCTTACTACCAAAATGTGAAGAAAGGGAAGCATTT